TGGATTTTAGAAACGATTCAGAATTGATATAATTTGAAATCTTTGGTGTATTTGGTTTATAGGAATTGGAATTGAACGTAAACGTTATGATCATACCATCATGCTTCGTTTCGGGAGAATCAAGAAGACGAGATGTGGAGGCGATGATGGCAGATTTGATAAAAGAGGTAAGGGGTGAAACTGCTATTGAAACAACCGAGATTCTGATTTTTTTCAAAATGATTGTCATCTTCACGAGATTTTTAAATCAATCAATTGTGGGATAAGATTTCAAATCCAAACTTTTCTTCAAAACCAACCGCATGATTGCTACATAATTTAATTCCAAATACTATCAAAACCTTGCATACAAAACGGACGTTTAGTTGTTTAAAGTCTTACACTAATAACTGTATAAGAAGCGTTCGGTTTTGAGATATTTTTTAGTCTTAATTGATGAAATGACGATTATACCCTTGGAAAGGTTTTGATTCAGAAAACCAACGGAACCGAATGTGTATAATGCAAAAAGTATATTCAGTTCCCCATGTTTCGTCATCCACCACTCTCGGTTGATGCCATAAAGAAATGAGTTTATATATTCAGTGGTTATTATAAATATTTTAGATGATTTTTTGTGTATAAAAAAATATATATGTATTTAAATAAATGTTGGATTAATAGATAGAGAGTGTAGTTAAAAAGTCAACAAGTCGATAAGGTAATTGAGTAAGTAGATCACTAACTGCAACTAATTATTTTGTCAATAAAAAAGGGGTCAACGAAAGTGGAGCTCCAATCGGCTCAAATCCCACGTTATCTTTCACCATAAAACTATTATATATATATATATATATATATATATATATATGTGTGTGAGAATTATTATGTAACCTTTTATATTTATACAACCAATATAATTCAATCTTAACCGTCCATTTAATTTGATAAATATGTGATTTCATCAAAGTTTTGTTTGTTTCCTAATAAAAAGTATTGATCATAATTAATGAACTCTAGTCATTTTTCATAAATATTCAAATCGTAATAAATAAGCTCTCATCATTTCTATAAATATCTAAATGAATGAGTTGTATTGGTTGTACAAATGGACATGTTTGCATTTGAATATATAAAAGATAAGTTCTTTTGTTAACTCAATAATTTAATCGATCTTTGGTCCTTGATTCTTAGAATCTATGGATGAGATTAATTGTAGGATATTTGTAATTAATTAAAAATAAATGATATCGAAATATAGGTGAACAGGGATGTTTTGGGGAGAAATGTCCAAATCGGTTACAAATCGATAATTGTTCATTCATTTTATAGTTCGTAGAATCATCCATGTTGTATTATGAATATTTATGAATATATATATATATATATATATATATATATATGAACACATATGTAACTTGTAACTAATCTTAATTTGTAGCTTTCACATATGAACATACGAAAAAACTTATTTGCATCTATTAAAACTTATGAATACTAAAGTAATTGGCTTTCACATGTGAACACAATAATATATGATCAAAGTGTTTCTCTTGTGAATACATATTGACCAAATGTTAGATGTATATATATATATATATATATATATTGTTTTATGAACACATTAAAATACATGTGAATAATATATACACCATATGAACATTAGCGACTACATATATGTAGAAGATAGAACATCAAAGTTTCTTATCATATTTAAATAACAAGTCATCTATAATTTGGAAAAAAAAATAAACATATTATTTTAGCTATAATCATGAAATTGATGTTTTTGTAACCCCTCATTAATGAATGTGAAGTTAAGACAAAAAAAAAAGATTACCACTGTATCCTCAATATTAATTTGTATGGTGATAGAAGAACTTAATCTAATGAAGGTGGCGAGACCTGGATGTATACTTTCATCAGTTTTTATAAGAGTGATCACCTTCACACTCTTTATATAATACAAGGGTACGTTAACATCTAGTATATTAAGGAACCATTTATCAAACGCTTACTCAGGTAAGTGAATGCTAAATCACATTACTTTACCTGATGAATATGGTAAGAACCAAGAATTTTACCAGGTAAGAGTGAGACAAGGACCAAGAGTCTTATCCGGTAAGTGAGAGCGACGACTCTTACCACGGTAAACATTTACCGGGTAAATTGTTGCATATGATACCATTTTGGTGGACTAAAATCTTACCCAATGAGTAAATTGATAGTGTTAAATTTTACCAGTAAATAGTTTATCATGTAAGTGTTTGGTAAACAACCTCTAAGTTTACATTATATTAGGAGAAAATTATGAAGAAAAATTATGTTTTTATATTAAAAAAAACAAAAACTAACTTATTTTATTCGGTTAGTATCTAAATTTATGACTCTTGACTTATTCGATATCTAATTAAAATATAACGAGTCTAAATGTTGAAAAAGTGAATTAAAGGCCATGTTTATCTTACCTTTATATTCAGGTTATTCGACTTGCTTGAAATTTCTATTCATAAAGATTTTCTTAGGTGTTCTGTTTTAAAATAAGTGTCTATTTTCAAAAGACACTATCTACTTTTATATTATACTCTTAATTATAAGATGGAAATAATTTATTTCTCTTTATTAAAGATAAAAATGTTATTTAATTAATTATAAAGTACAATAATTTATAGACTTGGAATCACATGACACCAGTTTATTTTCATGAGACCACTTTTATACACTTGAAATTTCACAACAAAACTCTGTGAAGGTAACCTTCACAGTGCCTTCCCAGTGTTTTTATTGTAAAGGTTCGACTTTTTTTTACCTTCACCGCGTTTTGCTATGAAGTTTCAAATGTAAAAAAATGATCTCATGATTCTTAAAAAAACAAGCAAGCCTCAGTAAACCCAACCCTAATTATATATTATGTGTGCCAAGGATATTTACTTTTAAATAGAAAAAGTAAGTGAAAAGGGATGTAGTTGTGGGATTTTTTTTAATGGTTTTGGAAGAAAATAATAAAAGAATGATTAGTATTATTTGTGGTTGAATATTGATGCAATAATTATGATTTATGAATCTTTAGGAACACTTAATATGCATATTTACTCAAAGTGCATATCATCTTTGTAAAAAAATAGGGTATGGTGTAAGCCACCTTTAAAAGCCTTCATATCACAAACCCCCCCTCTTTTCCTTTTCAAATACACTCCCTTCTTTCGGTGTCTAAAAGGTTGTTTGTTTACCTCTTAATAGTTTTATTAAGAGGTCGCCTCTGAATCGTTAAGAGGTGAATCTTGTTTGACAAAAAAAAGTATGTCTGTTAATGATTATAAAACTCTCTAAATGATTTTGTATCATAGGGTCTTATGTACCATTCAGCAACTGCCAAACAACCCTTAAGTACTTTTAGGGTGAGTTCGATAGAATCAGAACAATTGTTCAACATTTAGTAAGAGAGAATAAGATTAGCAAAATGACTAATTTATCTGTAATGAGTTGTTTATATTTTTTTATATTTTGATTAATTTATGTGATTCATCAAATCAAAATAAAATAAATATTTTTATAACAAAATACATCATTAGAAAGTTTTCGTCAAAAACAATGTACCAAACGCACCTTTTTCATTTTTAATAAAATAATCAGATAACAATATCAATAAAATTAACCATTCCAATTCCTTCAGATTCCATTGAAACCCTACAAATCAAACGTCCCAAATCACGTTTCAGATCCAATAATATATGTTATGTTTGTTTCTTCCTTTTCGTTATATTGTCCTCTATCTCCTTTTCGGTCTCATCTTTTCAACGTCATCTTTATCCTCTTATAACCGTCACCAATCTCTTGACGGGTATAACCAAGAATCGGTTTTTTGCTTGTCAAATCGAGAAAACCAACCTAAGTTCGGATTTTTATGACTTTTCGGCAGATAAAATGAAACCAACGATACCGAATATATCTCACTTTAATAGAGATTGTTAGTGAAAATAAACATAAAGAAGTATTCACAAGAACCATCTTGAAAGATAAAGGACCACTTGGTAAATAAAGTTGGATTGAAAAAAGAGTCCCAACTTAACATTCAATTGCTGAAAATGGCAGCATGAATGGGAGATGGTGATTATGTCGTTGGTTAGTGTTGTTAGTAGGGAAATAAGTTGTAACAAATGTATGGGACCAAAATCAGGATCCAAAGTGCCCATCACTACTACTAATCACACCCAACCCTCTTACCAATTACAGTTTCTGCAACAGGGTTTGTAACCAACAACCTCTAAGCAGGCCTATATCACTTAAGGTAGCGTTTGGTACGCAGACATAATTGGACTGGACAGGACAAGAGGAAGGGACTAGAAATGACAAGTTGTTTGTCTAATGTTAGGTACAACTAGGTTTGGATAAGACATGATTAGACAAATTGCCCTTAAAAACGGTTTGATGGTTTTATATATCAGATAATAGTCATAAATAACACAAATCACCCAATGACGGTGGTGGCAACAATGACGATAGGTGGTGGTGACCATTAAAACAAATATCATGTTAGAGTTATATAAATGAGAGTAGATTAGTAATTTTAAAGTTTCTGTCTCCTCCTGTCTCGTCTTGTTTCCACCTATTTTGGTGGAACAAAAAACAGTCTTTTTTGTCCCACCCAGTCCTTGTCTTATGTTGCACCAAGTGTGGGACGCTAAGTTTTTCCCAAGTCCCACGTGGAAAGTGAGTTTTGTACTGTCTTATCCCGTCCTATCCCATGTACCAAACGCAGCCTATGAGCGCAATGCCAACAAAGAGACCAAATCCATAAAGGGTTTTAAACACTATAGCTGTCAGACCCGAACCAGAACCAATTGTGCAAAGCGGAGTTCTAACCACTCTACTACTTATGGAATTGAACCGACTCCCTTTGATGGACTTGGAGCCCAATTGGTACGAAAGACCATTTAGGAGGTGGGTTTATGTTTGGTGCTTTATGATAGGGGTGAACGTGCCATGGAAATAACATAAATATCCTCATGGCTTTCTATGAACAAGTGCAACAAGCCCCAAGCATTATGAGATTGGTCGATAATCAAGTCACAATTTATTCAAGAAGTGGTTCCATATCTATCACCAAGTGTTCACACAAAACTCATTGATTATTTGCTACATACAATGTGAAAATATTTCAACTTACAGTTTTGCAATTGCAAAGTATGCGAAAACTGAAGATGAAGCAGGGATCCGACCGAGTGGATACTGAGTCTGACTAAATGAACATGATCATATTGGAGTCAAGCCGACCACACCTATATATTCCGAAGGGACACAAAGATTTGTGTTTAGCAAAGATAATTCACAACTATTAGCATTGTAAATAAAAGCTAAAGGTTATAACAACGTATATAAATAGATAAAAAGAAAAACATGTTTGTTAAAACCATAGAGAAAAACAAGGTTTAATCCTTCTTAAAGAAATAAAAACATAGAGATGACTGTTAACTCCAATCCCCATGGGATTAGTCGAGATGCGTGTAAGTTGACTTGGACAACCACAGTTACCAAAAAAGGTGATTTTGTACCTTTCCGACACCCCAAAGAATAGCCACTTTGAATTATATCCTTTAAACATTGATATTTTCCAACCAACACACTCTCACATGGGCGTTAACTACAATTAGTTTTTATTTTAAGTCCAAGCTTTCGCCATAGACCATAAGAAGTTCTAATTGTAGGCATGCACAATGTTGATGAGCTATACGACTATATCACGTTCTACCATAGATTAATATGTATGTACAGGTTGGGAGGATTTTTTTTCATAGATGGAATGAGGGTGTTTTTTAATTGGGAGCGGCAGCTTTGGAAAAAACTTGGCTTTCTGCATAAAGTTCCACCTAGAAGCTTAGTGAATAAGCCACTTTCTATATCATTAAGCCACTACCAAACAGTAACTCATTAAGTTGCTAACAAACAGGCCCTTTGTCATTTGTTATAGACTTATAGTTAATGCCCACATGGAGGTCAAAAAGCAGGTTGTTGGAAATGAGATAAGATAATATTAACCTACAGAATTTCCCAGCCACCCATGTTTCCAAATCTAATGCAAAATTTCTGAAGAATCATAGAGATTTCACATTAAAGACTTTGGACCAAGCATTGAGAAAATGTGAGTTTGCTTATGGAAGTTCACACATATTGTATGTAAATAACTATCATACCACAAGCCAGTCGTCCTCCTGCATTTCCAGTGGAGAGGCTAAGTTCGTGACCACCTAAATTCAAACCGGTAAAAGGAATCAGAAATAACTAAATAACATATTGCCCGAATGGTTCAGTTTCTTACTGAAATATCTACTAAAAATATGAAACTTTACCCTTTCCAAGGTCGTCAGCAAGCTCATGGACCACAAAAGCTCGTCCAACTACAGCATTAGGCCCAGTCAATGGTATCTGCAAGTCCTCATTAAGGAAGTGTTAAAGAGAATCTACAAATTAGGTTAAACAACAATATGAAAATATAATAGAGCCAAACTTCAAACCCAAACCTGGTTATCGACAATTGTAGCCTCAGCCACGCCTACATTATATTTAACAAAACTATAAGGAAACAAGACAGGCCACAAGTTTTGGGTTAAAATACCATCTTCAGTTATGCAAGTGTTTTTGGTAAAATACCATCGGCATTGGCAATTATGTTTCCCAGGTCACCCGCATGACGGACTTCATCTTCAGGAGCACCATGTGTAAGCCCATTAGGGTTGAAATGTGGTCCTACAATTTATCGATGTCCCTATTAAATCATAACCGATAAACCCATTGCAGAGCTAAATCTGCAATGTTATGAACCCTAAAAAATGTAGATTGTGATGCTATCAGAATTCAAACCTGTTGATATGCACCCATTTGTGGTATCACCAAACTCATGCTAGACATTGAAAATAATGTAAAATATCAGCACTTAATTACGTAAACCAACACATAAGAGATTAAAAACTTGAATACAACGAATGCTTACTAGATGAAACCCATGAGGTCCTGGAGCCAGTCCAGTTATTTTGACATTCACAGTTGTTGGACCTGTGTCAATCACAACTCACACTCAAATTACAGATATACACATAAAATAAAGCAACTTTTTGCGATCTTTTTTAGTTCTGTCTCAAAAAAAAAGTGAAAATGTGGCTTGTCGCTCTATGATTTCTAAATGTTTTACTAATTCCTTTTACAAGCCGGGTCTTCTAAAAACATTCTATCTGCCTTATAAGACAAAGAAAAAATATGTGTACATCTTACCCTCCGGCTTTTGAGACAGTGAAAGGGTCTGTTACCCACCCTTTTGCGAAAGGGAAAAGGGTTATTTAGGAGAAAAACTTTTTGATAATAATTTTTCTAAATGCATGACCCTCCAACAGATTTACATTAGGAGAGCCTATCAAAAGAATGATTCTTCATATCACAAGAATGCCTCAATCTGTAAGGTGAAAAGGTCATACATTTTACAGGAGAAAATTTACATAAATAGCCAAAGCTGATAAGTGGTTTCACTTTTTAGCCATTTTCTAACCTAAGTTCACTTTTACATGATTCTTCACTTTTCTGGCCATTTTCTAATCCTTACATATATGCGTAAGGATTCTGGGCAAGAATTCCATTTTCGGCAAAAAAAAGAAGAATGATTACCCATATGCGTAAGGTTTCTGGGCAAGAATTCCATTTTCTGCATAAGGATTCTTTTTTTTTGGCTGAAAACCAATCCTTCAGCATATGTGTAAGCCTTCTTCGTAAGGATTGGCTAAGTAGTGAATTTGGGTCAGCAATGGCTAAAAAAGTGAAACCTTGTATGCTTATTGACTATTTCTGTCAATTTCCTAAATAACCCAAGTGAAAAGGTAGGCTTACATCTTACCACAATTACCAGGTGGGATATCCTCTGTTTGATTGGTATTTTATAGAATAAACTCATAAGGCAACTAGATTAAGAATATTGCTAAATGCAACATGAACTAGAGGCTATTTTCAACCCCCCACCCAAAAATCAAACCTGTACTTCTAGTTTGTCAAAGTCAAAAGCTAGTACAATACTTATATGGGGTGTGTTATCAATAGAAAGACAGAACTGCACGCCTGCACGTTCAGCTCATCTCAATCGAGCTAATTTTCAAGTTCAAATTGATATGGAATCGTGAGTTTTTGAAGGAAAAACGAGGTACTTAGGTTAAGTTTGGTGATATGTGGTGCAAATAGAATAATGCCAGTGTTCAACTACAACAAAATCCATATCCATCGCATTTCAAAAGTACTTAACGATCGAACAAACGTAGTGCAGATTACAGAAATTAGGTAATGTATCAAAGTGGTTGCTCAATGGTCAACATGGTTTTCACTAGTTGAGATTTGGATAGAGAGAGAGATACCGTTGTCTTCTTGACTGAGGGTAACAACGCCTTCAACACTGGAGGTACCCTTGAGGACGGCGACGGCCTTCTTAGCGGCGGCAACGACAGTAAGGGGTTTAGGAGCGGCGGCGACGGAGAGTGTTAGCGATTGACGAGTAATGGGGGTTTTGAGGGAGACACCATGGAAAGAAGAAGATGGAATAGAGATGGTGCTAGGGTTTGAGAGGGGAAAAAGGAGGGGGTAAGAAGTAGCAGCAGGGGAGGAGAAGAGGATAGAGTGAAGAGCCATAGCTGCAATTGCAGCTTGCATTCAGTGGTAGGTAGGATTAGGAATGAATGAATCAGAGAAAAAAACGATAATGTTTGTGAGAAGAAAGTGGGAAGCATCTGGTGTCTTCTTGTTCTTGTTGGCTTCGGATCCTGTTGGTCTGAATTCGGGTAGAACCGTTGAGACCGGATCTTCAAATTAGAAGAGGACCCAAATATGGGTTTTTTTTTTATTAACCTGAATATTCAACCCGTTATGCGAGCCGACTAATCTCATAACGACCACCTGTTTTGTAGATAACTCGAAGTCACCGCATTTGAACTTCCGTAGCTATAAGAGGATTTTTATTTCTCATTGGATTTGAATCTGGGACCTCCTGGTACTTTTGAACTTTGGAATCAAGCTTAAATCAATCAGACACCAATCTTGTGGTGTTTTTTTTTCTTTTTCAAAATCATTAACTAATATAAAATAAATTAAAGAAAAAAATTTAGTAATCGGTTAAAACTCTGATGATGGGCTTAGGTATAAAAGTCTCCTAAACGCTAGCCCAAAAGAGGGGAGTGTCGACACCATATATATGCATCTATCAATCTTGTCGAACTGATGATGTGTGACAAATTGTACTTCAACTGTATATTAAGAAACCAGCGACAAGTATTTTTATAGTCACTGGTGTCGAGCAAAATTTTATACACTCGCTTTCATTTTAAGTAAAGCTTGGACAGTTGTGTAAGAATACAAGTTAAAGCAATATTGACAACAGAGGCAAATTTTATACCTTTTTGTAGGATTTCCATTGGTTGAATGTTTGGACAGCCAACGTAAAGGTCCTGCAAAAGGCAAGGTGCGTGTCAATGGAGGGAAAACGCAAGTACCGGTAAACCTCTAGCCATCCAACACTCGCTTTATATAGTTTCATTGTAAGAATTTTATCAGTTTTTGGCTTGTGATTGTGTAGATGATCTATTCAATTGGAATGGGTAGTAATCTACCAAAAATACCCTTGATTTTGTTACCTGTGTCCATATATTTTAATGAAAAAACAAAAGGTATCAGCATACAACAAAGTTTGCTTTAATTCGTATTTTTTATAACTGGTAATTTTTTTCCTTAGTTGATGTAATAAAGTTTCAAAAAAATCATTTTAAAGCGGCGTTTGTTTTTTAAGATGTGCTGAAGTCTGAAGTTTGATTTCGCTTCTGATTTATAAGAGGTGATGTTGAAGTTTAAAATTTGGATCAGTAAGATTAGGGCTGTAAACGAACCGAACGAACACGAACGGAGGCTTGTTCGTGTTCGTTCGTTTAACTTAACCGAACAAACGAACGAACACGAACGGTAAACGAACGAAAATAATTGTGTTCGTGTTCGTTCGTTTAGAAATCCGATGTGTTCGTGTTCGTGTTCGTTCATGTTCGTTCGTTAACAAGTTAAACGAACGTAAACGAACGAACATAAACGAACAGTCTTAACGAACATAAACGAACATAAACGAACATGCCTAAATGAACATAAACGAACATAAACGAACAGTCTTAACGAACATAAATGAACATAAACGAACATGCCTAAACGAACATAAACGAACATAAACGAACACCACTATTTGTCATTCAGTTAACTATTACACACCAATTGTCCATAGTTTAAAAAAAAACAAATCACAATTGTCATTGGAACAAAAAAAAACAAATCACATTTGTGTAGTCCATAATGATGTTTCTGCTTTTGATGTTTTGGCACATGGCCCARCACTTTTAACAATGATGTTTGGCACATGGCCCAGATCTCCTATCAATCTGTTCTTGATTTCCAAGAATCAGATACCGAATGAAGCCATAGATCTAGAGATTAGGATGATGAGATTCGTGGTTCTTCTGTATACCGAATACGTTTTTCTTTCTTTTTGTTGAACCATGTAGCTACAACCCCAGATACTGCCCTTCAAGTGTATACACTCATCTTGGTATCAGATCTTGTTTCGTGTGTAAAACTGTAAAATATGCACTAATGAACACAATCATTTCCATGTTTCGAATAAAGCAAAAGCAAATAGGTAAGGTAAACTAATAAATTGTTTACCTAATTTCCAAGACCTAACACACCAGGGAGAGGCCGAGARGGAGAGCCGAAGAGGGAGTAGGGTTGTCGTCGTCGGACTGTCACCATCGCCGTGAGTCTGTCGCCGTGGACCTGTCGTCGTGAGCCTGTCGCCGTGAGTCTGTCGCCGTGGACCTGTCGTCGTGAGCCTGTCGCCGTGAGTCTGTCGCCGTGGACCTGTCGTCGTG